TTTAAACACACACATAGACCACTATGTCCTACACAGATAGCACCTTGGGGAGAACTCCAAGGTAGCGTCAAGTGTACAAAAAATAGTAATAATACTGGATCACAGTGAATTCTCCATATGTTCCAATAGAAGTATCTTCCTTTGTTTAATTAGTGGTGAAGACTAGGGATGGACAAATCTGTCAATTTCAGATTTTCTCAGTTTCTTATTTTTCCAGTCCTAAATTCAGTTCATTGCATTTCCATATCATTTAAGTTCTTGCAAATGTTTGTTAGTATTTTAGCACCTGTTTCTTCTGATGTGAATTTATTTGCAAGCAATTTTTGCCTAACAATATGCATTCTGAGAGCAACTTTCCTTAATATAATGAATTTTTGTCTGCTATCTCCCCCAGTGTAGGAGTTCCTTTTGCACACAATTGCACTTTTGTAGATATATTTTGGCTGGAGAACTGCTTTGCAAAATTCAGAGAAGTGGGAATTTTGAAAGATTGCTTTGTTTCAGTTTGCATATTGTTTTCAAAAGTGCAGATTAGGTTTGTGTTGACATACAAACTGAGCCAAATTTCTCCTCCTTCTCTTATGAGAACATAAATGTAGTTTAGACCCTATCCCTCAATTTCTACTAAAAACCATACACATTCTATTGGCCTGCTACTCTTCTATATATATTTTTAAATGATATTTTTGAGAACCTCAATTATTTACATGTATCAAACAGAAATACCAGTAAACAAATAAAACTCTGGACCGAAGGAAAGGCCCAGCAGCTGACAACGGCATGACAGCAAAAGTTTCATAGCATTATTTCTTGTTCTGCTGTTTCTATTATTATTAAGCACAGAGAGCCTCTTATAATTTCTTTTTTAAAAATGCAAAAGCCACAGTTCTAGATATGTGATGTGGAGTAGCTAGGTTCTATTACCCTTGTTGTATATTCTGTAGGCAGCTTCCTTAACAACATCAGAGAATAAGCTCCCTCTTGGTTTGTTCTGCCCTCTAGCATATACAATTTATTTTAATGAGACCCAGAGCATGGCAGGTTCTCCATCTTAGCACTGCCACTATTTGCTCAGGCACTATTGCCAATGCAATTCTTTCTTGTTTGTTGTTGACTTTTATATCTAGCTCACAAATCACCCTTGTGAGTTGAGGTCACCATTGTAAGACCTTCATTTTATTTGACTACCTTCCATTTCTCTCCCCCCCTTTTTTTTTAGTCTCTCTATCATACAAACAGGGACCACATTGACTCAAGAACCAATAGCCATTTCCCCCAACTTGATAGTCCCGTTATGTGCTGCTTCAGTGTATGCAGATTGCAGGATCTTCTTCTACCAAGCTGTTACTTCTGTCCCTTTCTTTTTATGCTTTGGCTATTCCATTCTAGCTACAGAATGAGGCCATGCACCTTAAAAAGTGTGACTTGCTTTGTGATTCCAAATCCGATTGCTGCAACAACTTCTACATCTTCCAGAATTTTTCCAACATTACAACTCTGTAAAGGGAGGAAATCTGCATCTCTATAAGCCTTTTTCTAGCGTTAGATACTAATAGACACTGATATCCAACTAAGTTTGTTCTGGGTATAAGCTTTTGTGTGCATGCACACTTCTTCAGATACTTCAGATACTTCAGGTATCTGAAGAAGTGTGCATGCACACAAAAGCTTATACCCAGAACAAACTTAGTTGATCTCTAAGGTGCTAATGGACAATGTTTTAATGTTTTATTTCGACTGCATTAGACCAACATGGCTATCTACCTGAATCTTGTATTTTTAAACAAATGATTATAAAAAAGTAATAGTGACAGGTATGGGCAAGCTACTTTGCCTGTTTCATTTTCCCATTAGTCTCCCAAATAGTTGTTGATATTCAACGCTAACTATATTCCAAGTCTTGTGACCTTTTTCTTAAACAAAACAAAACTCCATTGGTTCTGGAGTATGATTCTGTTGGATCTCACTTATTAAATTTAACACTGGTTTAAATTTTATAAAGGAAATAAATCAGTTTATGAAGATATGCATGTAATATTGCACTGACTTACTACAGACAACTGAATCGAAGACACGAAAGCAGCAGTGCATCCTTAAAAATGAATCACTTTTATCATCATATATTTCCTTTATGTCTTTACCTCAATAATTTGTTATGGAGGCAAAACACTACTGTAGTATCAGAATAAAAATGGAAATATTTCCAAAAGTTTTTAACAAAAAGCCCAAGAGTCAGTATACAATGAAAATTATTCAATGCCTGAAAGTAAGTAATCCACACTTTTGATGTTCATAGCCATGATTCTTTTGAGAATCTTGGTTACTTAATAGTAAATAAATTAAGAGGATAATTATGAAGAGAGTTCTGATTATAATATTCAAATCCTTGCTTGGTATAAGCAGCTGGTATCTGATAATGGAATTATTTGCCTACATATACATATTTAATTATAAGGAATGATAAGAAAAGTCACTGTGATAGAAAAACGGATGCATACTACCATGAAAATTTTCTTTCCCTTGAGAAGGAAGGGTTTCAAAGTTTGGAGATTCTAGAGAATGAAGCTTGACCCCAGCTACGTGTTTGACCATCACTGACATATGGCATCTCCCCAAGCATTATTCTCTGTACTTTACAAATAAAATCATACTGTGACAGAAGTGGCACGTCTGTGATCTGAAAACCATCACAGATTTCACTTGAGGTTTCATGGAGTCAAGACCAAAAACAAAATAAAAATATCTTTATATCCTGAATCCAAATAACATCAGTAGAAGGAGGACACAAATCAAACACTCAGTGGGACATGTGTTACACCTTTCACACAACTGCACCACCTCAAGATGCATGTCAGATTTGACAGTATCCGCAGCTTAATATCTCCTAGGGAATCTTATCCCTGATATGTTCCTTCTGAGTCAGTATTGTCCACTCTGATGGGTAACAAACATCTCTCCAAGGTCTTAGACAAGGTTTGACACATCATCTGCTCCTTTTAACTGAGAGTACAAGGAATTGGACCTGACTTTCGCATGCCAGACCAGAGATACTTTACACTATGAAAGCATTTTCAAAGAAAAGTAATCACCTGCTTGTATTTTGAGAAAGTTCAAACCTTTCAAAGTTAGTTGAGTACGGCCATGCTAGTGTAGGAGGTGAGTTGAGGACAACCTGTCAGATTAGATTTTCTGAAATACTCCAAATGCCAAACCTTCAAGAAGTGCCTTATAAATCAATAAGAAGTTCAATTTTTTAAAAATATTGTTAAATATTTTGAAAAAGAAGACATGCCTCTCACAAAAGATACAAAAGGAAAAGTTAAGTGATGTTTCCTAAAGACAGGAACCTCTAAGATGGGTTAGTCAACCTCATTTTGCCACAATTCCCCCAATCTCAGTGGAAGGGGACATGTTTTGGAGAAGGAGTGGATAAGCTGTGGATCACTAGATGCCAATGTACTACAACTCCCATCATCCTTGACCATTGGCCAAGCAAGTTAACTGGTGCTGATGGGATCTGGAGTCCAACAACACCTGTAGGGCCACAGGCTAGCACCCCAGCTCCCAATTTAGAAGTCGTAGCACCTGAGGGGAAATCAGTTCCCTTTATCTCTACTTCGTGTCTCTTTTCCATCTAAAGTCTCTAGTTGTAAAAGAAGTTTCAAAAGCATGACATGCCAAAGCCCAGCACATGATCTTCCTTATCATAATTACTTCTGAAATGTTAAATATTCACCAAAGGAAGGTGATTTAAGATGTCCACTTAATGCTTCTGGCTCTTCCATCTTCTCTGTTATTATTCTTACGCCTGACAAACGTGATTTGCCATGTCTTTTCCATGAACTGACAATATCAGTTCTATAAACAAATTAGACAGCACAGCTAACATGTGTCAACTTGTAGCTAGTCGATTCATCCCACCAGTGGTGTCAGAAACTCCAGATATGACCTATTTAGTCATATATTTTAAGAGGCATGCCAACAATGTGTTGGAAGAAAAGGAGCTTTAGTATGATCTGTAAGCATGAAATATCATGCTGGAAAACAAAAAAAGGACATCTGTGCATCATTTCAACCATCAGGTTTCCCTCCTGGGTTCCTTTCCTACATCTCCTTAGAATATATGTGTCTCACTGCTGACACACACACGCTGAAGCCAGCAATGTTACATCAAGAATAATTTCATGATACACCAATCTCAGCCTGAATGCAATTGCTGTCATTTCCAGCAAGCACAACCTTGAAACAGTTTGAATGCTGACTTCTCTGCAACACAGTAAAATGATCCCTATTTCTTTCCTTTTTTTAAAAAAAAGGGGGGAATCTACCCCAAACACCACATGCTTAAAAGTCTTCTTAAGTCACACAGAACTTTGTTATTACTATTATTTTACTACTCCTGTAGATTTTTAATGCATTCATGTCCTTGGCTGCATAGTAAACTTTTATCGGGATGCTTCTGAAATTAGGAAGGCAAACGCCAGTCACGTTTATCATAGTTGATGAAATGTCTTGATATTAAATGACTTGTAATACCTCAGAACATACTGAACCACTGAAAATAATTCATGTACTTGCGAAACTTTTCCGAGCTTCTCGGAAGCATTCTACCATTTTGTTCAACCCACCAGTATCAACAGTCATAGATGGGTATCTGCTTCCCCGAAAACAGTTTTGTCAGTCTCAGTGCTATGATTCATTGCAGAAAAATTATCAGGGCAGCCAATGTGAACTTATACTAATACAGCTTGCAGGTGTGTGTGTGTGTGTGTGTGTGTGTGTTTGCTGACAGAGCATTTTATGGTACGGTAGGAGATACAGACCAATAATAAGCAGTTCAGAGTATTTTACCTGCAACCATGCTGCAATAAAGTGCCATCATCATTCAATCAATAGAGGTTACTTACTTAACATTTGCTTGAACATATTTGGATTGCCAGCCCATTAGATCATTTTCTGATAAACAGCATAGTTAATGAATGGAGAGAGTAACTACCTACCTTCAGGAAGAACCTGCCCAATAACAATAATCCATCAAGAAAACTGACAATATCCTCTGATCTATTGCCTGCAAAGCAGGGACTTGATGGAGAGTTTCATTCCTTCTGCTCAGTACTCCAGGAGAAAATCAGTGCAATTTGAATATTTCTCAGGCTGTGACACCTCTCCAAGATTCCTGGTTGCGTTCTGTTTCCCAGAGGACGGCAGCCTGGTGTTCCAGTGTGCATACAGCAGTGAAGATAAATAGAAAAAGGCTTGAGATAAATTAGGGATGGCTAAGTTAAAATTGTCTCTGCTCCTGACTCTCTCATCTGCAGTCTGAAAGTCTGTTTTGCTGTGAAAAAGCTAGATGGCAGGCTGCCTCAGCGAGTTCTTCTTAAGCTACAGAGAGCATTTCAATGAAGAAAATTTTTTCCCATTATCTAAGCTAATGTGACTGAAGCTAAGTCTAGTTTTTAAAAAGTGTCTGCTGGCATGAAATTCATTTTACTGTTGCTTTCTTTCAAGCTACAGGTCAGAAAACATGTTATTGGGCTATATATTTCTATCTAAATAGAGCACTTCAACTTTTCAAGGTACAGAAATGGTATCTAGGATCTTTTTACAGCTTTGTTCAATAGCTTAAAAGGTAGTCAATTTCCACTTTTGCACCTGAGTGTGTCTTTCATGCTCTTCAGTCTTTTAACCTAAGCTTTATTTCCCGCCACACAAGCACACTTTACTATGTCTCTACAAATATAACAATCCAGAAATTAGGGTAATGACTCATTATAGAACACTTATTTTAGGGGAGGGGCAGAGGCTTATTATGCTTTTGAAACAAAAACAAAGGAATCCCAACCACACGTACAAAGAAATAAGCGTCATTGAGAATCTGCCATTATTTTTTACATGAAGCATTGATACCTAAAATTGCTCCTGTGGCCTGGAGGGGAAGGTTGGGTGGCAGTCCTGAGAGCTAACCAGAAACCCAGGCAGCTGGTTGGGAATTTCCAGTCCTGGGGCATGGATGTCCAGATCCAATATCTCCTCATGGTCACTGGTGATGTGGAGATTCTCAGGGACCATTGTCCAGTTCAGGCTGAATCCTGACACACATATTCCCATTACAGACAGTTGGCTTCCATGAGGTGGAAGCAGTAAATAATGACTGAGGGGGCAGAGCTATTGTATTCAGCCCCAATTCCTCCTCATGTGCTAATTCACTTTAAATAAAGCTTGACGAGGACTTTAGTGATGAAATATATGTGCATGCTTAATGTTTAATAAGTCACTTTCCTGTCCTATCTTAGGCTTCATAAACACCATATATTTAAAGTATCCCCCTAATAATCCTGCAAACTGTAGTTTACCCTTCACAGGGCTATAATTTCTAGCACCCATGCCAATCTACCTGTTCCCAGGATTCTTTGGGAAGGTGCTTTATATGTGCTTTAAATGCAGTGCTTTTTTTTCTTTAAAAAAAGTTTAGGGGTACTCTCATTTTCACTTAAGAACATCACCATTTCATAGTTCAAATCAGGAAAAATAAATATGGCAAATGGACAAAAGGCCACCATCAGGGGTAGCAATGGAACTGATGATTCGCTGTGCTAGAGAAGTAACTAAAATTTTTATTTTTTTTAGTTTCTTCTCCCATTAGGTTCACAAAATGTTTAGGGGTATGCGTACCTCTGCGTCCCACCCCAGAAAGAAAACACTGTTTAAATGTATGGTTATATGTAGCCTCACATCTCTGGGTATCCCCCACTCTCAGTCTCTCATTGTCTGACTGTCTCAGTCATCCATGTTTTAGCTGCCTAGTAGCTTGAAGAAAAGCCATTGTGCTTTTGAAAGCGTGGTGTTTCAGCCTTGCATTATTCAGGCCTAGTTGCTTGAGGGCCTGCAAGTCATTAGGGCTAAACAAAATGAAGTTCAGTTATGTTCTCTCAACAATACATAATAAAATATATATGGAATGGCTGAATTAATCTTCACTATGGAAGCAAAGCCTCTCCTTCTGGGGGTTTTCTCTATCTCTTTACTTATTCACAGCATTTCTATATCACCCATTAGCAAAAAAACAAAACAAAAAACAAAAGTTCTCTGAGCAGCTCAGAAATAGTTTTCATGGAACCAACATAACTGATAAGAATAATGACTTCAGTCAAGTCAAGTGGAAGCACATTGAACTCTACACATTTCAAATATAAAAATAAATCTGAATGGCCCTTACATTTCAAAGATCAGCACTGGAAGGTAGATAGGCATCTTCAGTTCTTTGCATCGTGATGCTGGAACATTAAGTAAAGATAAAGGTCAGCAGGGGAAAGTTTCGCTCAATTAACATTTCTATTTCCTTCTTATGCCTGAAGGGCTCTCCAACTTCCAACAATCAACAAAGATACAGGAGGCCATGCATGAAGTACTGTTGTTATGTAACATCTCTTCATTTCCCCATAGACCAAACATGCAAGGAAGATTAACAGTATAGTCCTTATAGGGGTTTACCTGGAAACACCATAGACATTTAAGTCCTTCTGAATTTAGTGGGGCTGATGTCCCAAGTACCTGTGTTCGAGACTGCAGCCTTAATCTTGGCTGTATGCTTTCTCCCTTCCATTTAAGTTTAGTCCTAATAATAGCACCCATTTTTGCTTTTCTTAAAAAAAACAAAAAGCTAAATGTAAATGAAATGTTTAGCTGACCAACATAATCCTGGCTTCCATTTAATTGTATTTTGCTGCATCTTATTTTTTGATGTTTTGTCGTGATTTTGATTTGCTGAATGATGTGTAAAGATCAGAACAGCAAGGTAAGAACAGTAATAATAACAAAAATAATTTCATCTATGACAATGGCATATCTAGACAACTAGAGAGGGAGGACATTTTAAATACAACCATGCTAGAATCAGTGATGTAGATAGAGAATCATTCAGTGGCTCTTTATTTTTTAGTGTACAGTGGTACCTTGGGTTACATACGCTTCAGGTTACAGACTCCGCTAACCCAGAAATATTACCTCGGGTTAAGAACTTTGCTTCAGGATGAGAACAGAAATCGCACAGCGGCGGCACGGCAGCAGCAGGAGGCCCCACTAGCTAAAGTGGTGCTTCAGGTTAAGAACAGTTTAAGGTTAAGAACAGACCTCCAGAACGAATTAAGTTCTTAACCTGAGGTACCACTGTATTCTGCTTTTCTTTGTAAAACTTCAAATTACAAATTAGCTTACAATTAAAACCTGGATCTACACTACACCTTAAACCTGGATCTACACTTCAAAGAGGGCACCTTGTGACTGCTTCTGTATTGTAATCCACCCTAAATTCATGTATAGCAGAGGAGTCTAACAAAATGGATGACAGTGAAACCATTGATGAAATTCCAGTTTCATAAATCTACCCCCTTCAGTTTTCATAGAAATGCATTTTGTCACTAAATACCATTGAATCTTCAGTGCACTCTTTTAAGGACAACTACTCACTCCAATAATAATAATAATAATCAGCTCCAGGTGAAAGAGCTTCAATGTACAGCTAAGAATCCCCCCTCCTGGAAAAAAATGACCTGCATTTACATTTATTGTGCCCCCTTTCAGCTATTTTCATTGAAGGAAAAGATCACACACAGACCACAGACACAATGCGCACAAGACGTATGTGCATGCCAAATGCACAGAGAGATGTGAATTGGGGTGACAGTAAGGGAAGCAGAATTGGCTTTGTACTCTTCAATGCTCCTCCTACAAAATGACAATATTTGATTCCCTCCCACTTGCAGTTTTCAAGCCCAACACTGTCATTAGAGCTAAATAAATACACTGCAGCATTTAACAGCAATCTGGTCCAACAGTAAATTGCTACCTAATACATTACTAATATTTTCATAAAATAAGATAAAAAGCACAGAATAGTGTTGCCTTAGAACTTTGTGCTGAACAATTGTGATAACGTGGGTGGGAAACTATATTTTGCGACAATGCCTGTGGAAATTCAGGGCTCAGTCCCAACCTCTGACCCACACTGATGGAAACTACACTAGAAGGTGGGGTGGCAGGAAAAAAAATGTCCCTCTGCTATGTCATGTGATGGCAGCAAGGCTCACACGGGATCCAAAAGAACCTGTGCTGACCCGCCCACCCCTCTCTCCTGAAATGCCCTGTTTCATGGGTTTCTGCCCATTTGTTACTGGCAAGGATGCCACTGGAGGTAGCTTCCACCTTTCTGCCACTTGGAGAGGTGCAATGGGACATTCCTCACCAGTAGGATGTCCTCACTGTCTGATGGTAGAGCTTGCTCCCCTACCAGTGGAGGTCAAAAACCTCTTGCTTCATCCAAGAAGCTGATCAGGGATTTGGGTTGCTCCATCAGAGAATTTAGCTATGATCTGCTGGAGATGGCCAATATACACAGATTCAACCATGTAAAATGGGAAAGTGTTTGAATGGAAGACTGGCATGGTGCTAATTGAGAGCAGCAAAAGAGAACATCTATAAAGTGACATGAATTCTACTCATATTGATCCAAAGTAGCACTCCAACATATAATTAGCAGAGTAAAAAACTGAAACATGTTGCAGGATTCCCAAAAATAGACTGGGGCAATTGTATTTCATCCAGCAGAGTTTAGTACAGTGGTACCTCGGGTTAAGTACTTAATTCGTTCCAGAGGTCCGTTCTTAACCTGAAACTGTTCTTAACCTGAAGCACCACTTTGGCTAATGGGGCCTCCTGCTGCCGCCGCACCGCTGGAGTACAATTTCTGTTCTCATCCTGAAGCAAAGTTCTTAACCCGAGGTAATATTTCTGGGTTAGCAGAGTCTGTAACCTGAAGCATATGTAACCTGAAGTGTATGTAACCCAAGGTACCAAGGTGCTACTGAAGGTAAATGAGCATAATGGTCATAAATCCAACATATTCAGGATTGGCACTGTCCATAAGAAATCCAGTTGCAACAGACTTAACTTAAAAAGGTAAAGATAAAGAACCCCTGACCGTTAAGTCCAGTTGCAGACGACTTGGGGGTTGCGGCCCTCATCTTGCTTTACAGGCCGAGGGAGCCGGCGTTTGTCCACAGTTTTTCCGGGTCACGTGGCCAGCATATCTAAGCTGCTTCTGGCACAATAGAACACCGAAACAAGAGAAGCACATGGAAACGCCTTTTACCTTCCCGCCGGAGCGGTACCTATTTATCTACTTGCACTTTAGGGGGGAGGCATTGCATGCTTTCGAACTGCTAGGTTGGCAGGAATGAGCATATTGTAACTTAAGGGTTTAGTCTTATTGTAAATTTAACTCTAATCATACTATGTACAGAACCCCACAACAGAAGGAAATGAAAGAAAGGTGAAACCCAGGCTCCT